TATGCATATATATATGTCTAAAATCATGTACATAGAATACTTGCCTGCTGCTTAGTTATTTGATTAAATTCAGATTCAAAACTAGCACTTTTCTAGTTTTTGAATTAATAGCTTAGCTTTTTAACATTTGTGGGAGAAGAGGTTGAAGTATGGGTTCAGTAGGACAGACTTCTCAGTTTTCTCATGTATATGTTGATCAGTCCTCTGCCACGAATAAAGATGTGTATTGCGTTTGATGTTCTCCTGATATAATTTGTCAGCACTATTGACTTTTTTACGTTCCTTACTTCGTATTTTTTCCCAACAGAATTGTGTGTTGTGGACAGTACCTACAACCAGCTGGGTCATCATGGTTAGACACAGGAATTGTATGATTATTTAATGGTTTATTTTCTCCTTGGTCTTCATTTCTTAATAGAGTAGTTTCAGCACTGAGTTGTGACAGAGGTCACACCCATTTTTAATGATTGCCAGGAGGAATGATCCTCTCTGTTTGGCCCAATTTATCCCTTTTATTATATTGGCAAACCCATTTCAAATTCACTTAAGATATCCATACACAAAAGAGTCAGAAAATTCTGTGGGTTTCTTATTACTGAATTACTGCATGTTTCAGGACTTGAAATCTTTGTTTTATTTTTATACTGCAGACTTTCAGAAAGGATTGAGTGTTTGTGCTCTGAGGTCAAAGGACTCAAGTGGACTTCTTAATTAGGAGATCAATGACTATAGCATGTTTAACTGAAAGATTTTCTTATTTAATGACAAAATATTGACGGAGAAGTTGGACATTTTTAGCACTCAATATGAACTTTGTAACATAAAATAAAAATAAATAAACCATTTTTTGTTCCTATTTAATCTGAAATACACCAGACTTTGCATTGCAGAGTTCTACTATCCACTCATTTGTCAGTGTAATCTTTCTATTTTTTCTTCTTTAATTATCTGTTGGCTTTATCATTTAGAAAAGAACTGAAACCTTGTCTATTTTTCTGCCTTTTTTGGTACATGGAACATTATTAGTAAGCAAATTATTGCATATTATTTTCAGTGTATATTATTTACAATAAATTATAAATTACAGTTAAATTTTAGAATCCCAAATACTAATCAAGATAAATTCTGTGTAAAGAAAATTAAAATGAAAATTTTATACAATTTAGAATGGGGCAAATGATTACCACAGACTTCTCTTTGAAATGTCTGTCCACAGATTGAGGATTCATTCTTTCCTGCAATTTACATTCTTAGGCTTATAAATGTTTTATGACCTCCCTCTATGAGCACTTGCAGGCACTCACAGCCAGAAGGAGGTAATGCAAAATTGATCTGTGTAATAAAACTGCTGAGCCAAGCAGACATCTCAGAATTACAGTGATTGTGCTTTGGTGATTCATCTGGCCTTCATGGAAATATTATTTGCAAAAAGTCTATCAGTCAAATGTGAATTTCTAACACACATAAAACTTTTTTGGTTTTCAGTACCTTGCACATGAGGTATCAGGTCTGGGATATTATTGAGAAACTCTTTTCATGATGATGGTTTCCAGATTCAAATTAATCTCAAAGCAACACCATCACCAAGCAGTGGGATAGATATAATGTCATGGTGACATTTTAAATTTTTGTAAACTCTTCCAGGTAACAGATTAGCATCAATGGGATAGAGGTGTATAGTAGCTAAAAACTAATCTAACAAGATTGAGTCTGATTATGTTAATTTTGAACACCACCTCATTTCTCTAATTTGGATTGGCTTTACAGCATATCTTATTTAAGAATTTAAAAAAAAATCTGGAATTACGACTAGTAAACCCATGATTATTCATGCATTTAATTTTCTATCTTCTAAATGTCCAGTGCTAAGGAAACTTATACCACAAATCACACTTGATGCCCTGTAAGATTTTTCTAAAAAGTTTCATATCCATGCCCGGAGTGGTATGAATATAATATTTTTACACAGCCTTTGGAAGTATGTTTATCAAAAAAAAACCCAAACTTGTAATGAAACATTAAAGTTTGTAACAAGCATGGATTTTATTATTAGAGTGTACTAGTAATTATTTTCACTGAGAACTTTAAAAATTCTGTAGCCTATATTTAAGATTCTAAATTCATGTTTTGAGTCATTTTATTGTTTCTTTTTAATTATTATTTTTGTGTGTGTTTAATCAACTGTATGCAGATAAAAATATTTTTATAAAAGAGTGACCTTTGTGCAGTATTTTGTGCTATCTTATGAATCTTCTCTCAATCACATAAATCTTGATGTAGAAGACATAGACTGCTGGGTGGAATGCTGACAAAGCCATAGGCTGCAGAAAAATTCTTAGACATTGAAGGTTTATGGTCTTGTTAACCATGAGGATTTCACTGCAGTGTTAAATTAGAATTTTTTGAAAAGGTTAACTTCACCGTGGCTAAAATTCTAATCTTGCAATCCCTGAAAGGCAGTAATATCAATTAAATTCTGAACTTCATTTTTGCAGAATAGAATCTTTGTGACATTCAGTCCTTAAAAGTTATCTTGTTTGTTTATTTTTGTGGAAACAAAAGGAACCTACTTTTGAAAGGTGTGTTGAGGACATTAAGCAAATATGACATATTATTCTGTTTCCAAACAAGCTTTTACTGCATCTGGATTCAGAGATCATAGCTCTCAACTGCTTAAAATTACCAACCTTATTTTTATTGTTTTGTTGGTCACCTCTTTGCCCCTTTCAAGTATAGGAGTCTCTATACTTGAAAAAATTAAAGACATTTTTATTTTTAAGTGTAGGATTTTTCTCCATATGCGACTCCCCCCAGTGCCCTGTTTTCACAAATTTTAGATAAGGAAAGCTGAGTGATTCAGGAGGCACTGAGGAAATATCCTGAAACTCAAATTCTCAATCTTTATAGCTAGTTTAGCTGAACTGAAATGAAACAAAATCCATCATATTTGATCTGTTTCTCCTTTCTTGTTATAACTCTTCAAATGCAAAAAGGATAACTCCTATTAGAACTGTAGCTAATGACTCTCAATTTCCTTCACATGTTTTCACCATATTCTTAAATAAATAAAATTGTTGTGTTTTTTCCTATTAGTTTCAGTCTATTTCCCTCTCAGTAATATATTTTATAGAGATACACAATTAAAAAAAAACCCACCAGGATCCCTGATTTCCAATACTGAACTCATACATCAGTGTATCCTGTATGTGAGGATCAATAGTTTTTTAGCATCAAGCTAAAAGCATAATTAAGATGCCTCTTGCAGAAAGACTTACAAATAAGATGCAGGGATACAGTATCCTTTCAGTATGGAATATAACCATTAACCAAACAGAAAATTTATTCGCCATGTTCAGTGTCTTGGTTTAAAAGACAGATATCTGCCAAAAGAGACAGGGGCCTCTTTTTTTGAAAAGGAGAGTATACACCCTCCCCTTTAACTCCACCATGATTTTGAAATTAAAGGGCTCTTAGGCAAAGATATGGGGGTAGGAATAACAGTTCTTTACTGAAATATATATATATTTATGTAACAAGGCAAACAAAACACAACAACAATAATTGCGAGATCAGCAGTAGCAGAGCAGGCAGCCCAGTGAACAGTTCTCCCGGCTGTGGACACCTTTCCTGTGCGGTGCAGGCTCCGTTCTGGCGCTGCCTGCCAGCTCTCGCTGAGCAGGGAGGAGATGCGGTGATCCCACGGGGCTGGAGGGCGCTGCGGTGAATGGCGTCTGTGTCCCTGATGGGAAGGGTGGAGGGGAGACGCTGCTCATGGATCCCAGGGCAGTGTCAGTCCTGATGCTCCAAAAGGATGTGCTGGAGTCGGCAGGAGATGCGGGAGAGCAGGGAGGCTGCGGGACCCCCCAGCCAAGGAAGGCAGCTGCGGGGTCAGCGTGGCAGAGCGGAGTTTCTAGCGGCCGTCCTTGTCCGAGCCAGATGAGCGAGAGAGCCGGAGCCCGAGACAACAGGCTCCTATCCTACCTTTCCTTATCTAGTGTGGCCCCTCTCCTCCCTGCTTCGAGAGAAACTGTTACCTTAGCTATCTGAGCTTCTGGGTGTAGCCCCGAATACTTAGCATAACAATGGGAAAAATTCCACAGAAAGAAAAGGGGAAAATTCAACCCCCAACATTATCCACCCCTGAATTTTTTCCATAATAATATGCTACATCAAAATAAAACTGCTAAATTATATACATGCAGTTACAGATACAGGCACAGTACCATAGGTATTTCACCCTAAAACAAGGTCTCCTTGGGGTATGCATCAGGTCTCTCCATCCTTTTGCATCACCCACCAGGTGCAACCTGGTCCTTGAGCGAATACAACTCCATGGATGGGATTGTCTTTGCTGGAGGCAGGATTCACCCAAACAGTTTTTCCTTGCATACCTCTCATGTGTACCACTGGAACCTTATCTCCATTTGATATTCCCAAGGGCTCAGATTGGGCAGGGCCTGCTCGGTTAGTGGAACCTCGGGTGTTCACTAACCAGGTGGCCTTTGGTAGATTAATCTCCCAGTTCTTGAAAGTTCCCCCACCCAGTGCCTTCAAGGTGGTTTTAAGCAGCCATTGCACCGTTCAACTTTCCCTGCAGCTGGTGCATGGTAGGGATATGGTACACCCACTCAATGCCGTATTCTCTAGCTGTCTTAGTTTAATTTAATTTCCCAAAAAAATGTCTGGGTTTAATTTGAATTTCCAGGGCAACACACCAAATTATGTCATAGTTTTGATTTGCCAATTTAAATATACTCATTTTCTGTTGTGAGACAGAACCAGGAGCAAAAGAGCAAGGCAGTCCTAAAACTTAAAAGGGTATAAAAAACTTTATTAACTACACAAAGAAAGAGAAAGAAAAGCAAATTCAGAACAAGATCTTCAGACCACTCTTCCCTCCCCTCCCCTCCCCTAACTTTCATAACAAGAAGACAAACATACAAAGAACTACTTCTGTCAGTTCCCAGCTTAAATAGTCCTTTTTTCAGTTCACTTCGGAGGGAGAAGATTCCTCTTGTCAGGCCACAGGGACTCCTCCACAAGGGGCGGGGTGGAGGGAACAGTCCACTCGTGGCTTCACTTTCATGATTTGCATCTGCCCGGGAAAAAACTTGCAAAGTCGTGAAGTTCCTCCCATCCTCGCAGCTTTCTCAAAACTGTGCTTATGGGCCATGTTAAACTCATGGGGTATTTCTTTTAAGAATGAACTGTTCCAAAGCAAAATTTCTTTTCGTCTCTTTTCTCTCTGTTCATGCTTCATCCTCAGGAAGCCCAGATCCCCTTCTTTCCTCTGGGCAAAGATTCTCAACACAGGTGCTTTTGGTCAAATGATCTATCAAATGGAACATCTCCAACCCCCCATGTCTTTTCTCCATGGTTTATAAGAATTTTCAGTGTGATATCAGTTCATCCCTACAATCTTACAAAAGGATTTTTCAGCCATCTTCACAGCATCTCCTCATTCTCCTTCCATCCAAAGAAACTTAGCTCTTTCATTTTCCCTTCTCACTCCGAGGAGGATTGAAAAGTCTGCAAGTCTTATCTGAGCATTGAGAATTAAGATTTCACACAGGGAAAGCAAAGCTACAATGCTGGCACTGTACCAAGATCTTAAACACTCGGGCCACGCTGGAAAAGGAGCAGAAGGGGGGAGCAGCTGGGATATCAATCAGCCTCGCTGAATCTCCCTGGCCACTGTTAAGGGCCACCTCTCCTCCCTGCCAGGCCATGCCAGCTCCTCAGACAGGGGGCTTGGCCCTGCCCCCCTGCCAGCCCCAAGGCCTGCCGTGGAGCCAGGCCGGGGCCTGTTACCTGCACTGCTGCCAGAAAAGAAAGAGAGCTCTTTTCTAGGTTATCTCCTTCAAAATGTGTGTTCATGGCGTGAACTAATTTTCTCCAATTGGTTGTTCAGGCTGTCAAATAACCAAAGCAGCTCCCAGTTGGTTCCATCAACTCCCAGAGGGAGTTCTCATAGAGAAAACTTCTCTCTGTGATTCTTCTCCCCAGGTGAAACCTGCACATTAGCCCAGGTGTTTATAAGGCCGTTCTTGAAATGAGTCCCGTTGTCTGACTCAATTCTCTCAGGGGGACCATGCCTCCAAAGAACTTGTTTTTCCAGGCCCAGGATGGTGTTCCGAGCAGTGGCATGAGGCACAGGGTAGGTCTCCAACCATCCAGTGGTGGCTTCCACCATGGTCAGCATGTAGGGCTAGCCTTGGTGTGTCTGGGGCAGTGTGATGTAGTCAATCTGCCAGGCCTCCCCATGCTTATATTTGGGCCACTGCCCCCCATTCCAGAGGGGCTTCACCTGCTTGGCTTGCTTGATGGCAGCGCACGTCTCACAGTCATGGATAACCTGAGAAATACTGTCCATGGTTAGATCCACCCCTCGGTCTCGTGCCCACTTATAGGTGGTGTCTCTGCCCCAATGACCTGAGGCATCATGGGCCCATCGAGCCAGGACCAACTCTCCCTTGTGCTGCCAATATAAATCTATCTGTGACACCTCTATCTGTGCCGCCTGATCTATCTGCTCATTGTGTCAGTGTTCCTCATTAGCCCAGCTCTTGGGGACATGAGCATCTACATGATGGACTTTTACAGGCAGCTTCTCTATCCGGGTGGCAATGCCTTTCCACTCATCAGCAGCCCAGATTGGTTTTCCCCTACGTTGCCAGTTAGCCTTTTTCCACCTTTCCAGCCAACCCCACAGAGCATTGGCTACCATCCATGAATCAGTGTAAAGGTAGAACTTTGGCCACTTCTCTCTTTCAGCAATGTCCAGGCCAGCTGAACAGCTTTGAGTTCAGCAAGTTGACTCGATCCACCTTCTCCTTCAGTGGCCTCTGCAACCTGTCGTGTGGGGCTCCATACGGCTGCTTTCCACTTCCGGTTCATCCCCACGATGCGGCAGGAACCATCAGTGAAAAGAGCATAGCGTGTTTCATCTGCTGGCAGTTGGTTATACTGAGGGGCTTCTTCGGGCCGTGTCATTTGTTCCTGTTCCTCTTCATCAGTGAGATCAAAGTTTTCACCTTCTGGCCAGCTTGTAACTATTTCCAAAATCCCAGGGCGATTTTGGTTTCCAATATGGGCGCGTTGTGTGATGAGGGCAATCCACTTGCTCCATGTAGTGTCAGTGGCATGGTGGGTAGAGGGAACTTTTCCTTTAAACATCCACCCCAGCACTGGTAGTCAGGGTGCCAGGAGGAGTTGTGTTTCTGTGCCAGTCACCTCTGAGGCGGCTTGAACTCCTTCATAGGCAGCCAAGATCTCCTTGTCTGTTCGAGTGTAGTTGGCCCCGGACCCTCTGTAACTTCGACTCCAGAATCCCAGAGGTTGGCCTTGAGTCACCCCAGGCACCTTCTACCAAAGGCTCCAGGACAGACCATGGTTCCTGGTTGCAGAGTAAAGCACATTCCTCACCTCTGGTCCTGTCCTGACTGGGCCAAGGGCTACTGCATGAGCGATCTCCTGCTTGATCTGGGCAAAGGCTTGCTGCTGCTCAGGGCCCCAATGGAAATTGTTCTTCTTGCAGGTGACCAGGTAGAGAGGGCTCACAATCTGCTGTACTCAGGAATGTGCATCCTCCAAAAGCCTATGGCACCTAGGAAAGCTTGTGTTTCCTTCTTGCTGGTTGGTGGAGACATTGCAGTGATCTTATTGATGACCTCACTGGGAATCTGGCACCGTCCGTCTCTCCACTTTACTCCCAGGAACTGGATCTCTCAGGCAGGTCCTTTGACTTTGCTCTTTTTAATGGCAAAGCCAGCTCCCAGCAGAATCTGGATGATCTTCTCTCCTTTCTCAAATACCTCCATTGCCGTATCCCCCCACACAATGATGTCATCAATGTACTGCAGATGTTCTGGAGCTCCACCCTTCTCCAGTGTAGCCTGGATCAGTCCATGACAAATGGTGGGACTGTGTTCCACCCCTGGGGCAGTCGGTTCCAGGTGGAGTGCACACTCCTCCAGATGAAAGCGAACTGAGGCCTGCACTCTGCTGCCAGAGGAATGGAGAAAAATGCATTAGTGATGTCAATGGTGGTGTAACACTTTGCTGCCTTGGACTCCAGCTCGTACTGCAGTTTCAGCATGTCCAGCACAGCAGTGCTCAGCGGTGGAGTCACCTCATTCAATGCACGATAGTCCACTGTCAATCTCCATTCTCCTTCAGATTTATGCACAGGCCAGATGGGGCTGTTGAAGGGTGAGTGGGTTTTGCTGACCTCCCCTTGGCTCTCCAGCTCACGGATCATCTTGTGGATGGGGATCACGGCATCTCGATTCGTCCGGTACTGCCGGCGGTGCACTGTTGAGGTAGCAATTGGCACCTGTTGCTCTTCCATCTTCAGGAGTCCCACTGCAGATGGGTTTTCTGATAG